ATTAACAAAATTCAGTGCACAGATACAAAAATCTTACATAATTTTGGATAAATCTCTGGTGTGGATAAACAAAACTCTAACCATGAAAGATTCCAGTCTAGACTACTCTTTAAAAATCTGTAATTTGTATGCCAAACAAGTAGAAGCTGAAGTTCATTTAAAGTCAAGGTAAATTACAGCTGTTACTTAAACTGATCTATCAGTCCTATCATTCTGACAGAGAGGAAAATTCAATTAGTCTGACAGAACTGCACAAAGATATCCTGATTACTACCTCCTTCCTTTTACATGTTTCCAAAATGATCTGTTGTTAAAATTTCCATTGAGTGTAATGATAATAAAAGTTTGCCCCTCAAAAGAGAATAATTCTTGGTCAAACATTACCCCACTTAAAATAGAAAGTCAGTTAAACATTCCACTGACAACTATCCAGTTTTCAGGTTGAAGTCCCTTTGTAAGAAAGTGCCTTTGTACATATAATTTCAATTTTATGTTAAACACTTTTTCCTAAATGACCGAGAAATGTAGGAATGTTCTATGACCCTAAACCAAAAAATCTTCTGCTCAGCCTCATTTCAGCTTTGTCTTCAGATATTATAGCTCTTGCATTAACTTTGTGAAAATTAACAGAATATATATTGCCTTTCATACACTCATCTACCTGACAGTGAAGAAATGATTTAAGAAATATAAAGTCAGCAGGGCTGTCCAACAATTTGGAAATAAGGCTCACTCTCTAGGGAAAAAACTTAAAAAGTAGAAAATATAACAGGAAATACTAGACATATATAAAGAAAATTCACTCTAAGTCAGGAACTATGAAACAAACCATGGAGGAAATGCTAAAGCATCTACTTTCAAATCAATGGGACTAAGAATTTTAGGGAGCTGGAAAGAGATGATTTATGTAAACAGGAATAAGTAAATAAAGTGAAAGTGTGTAAAATGTTGAAAATATGTTTTAAAGAATGGAGAAAAATAACATGAGTGGGATAGGCTGCCTTAGTGTAGAAAATGGGAGCTCAGGATGCAAGAATCTATCAGCTAGAGACCGGCACTGAAGGGTCTCCCTGCACACCTGCCTCCCTGGGAAGTGTGTCCTCTCGTGAAGATGTACCTATTGGGCTCGATGAGGCTGTTGCTCAGGTTATTTAACCCCTTCCCTTGTGATTCTGTATTCCTCAAGCAAGCCACCAACTTCATATTGGCTTCGTATATAGACGTCTTCTCAGGAAAGAGAATGTGCTGATCAACTAAGATTGGTATTTTATCTACTTGACATTACAATTCTCAATGTAAATCAGTGATCCTCAATGTGGCTGCATATTAGAATTACCTGGATGTTTAAATATGGATGTCAGGACCATTCCAGACCAATTAAATCAGAATTCTCTGGAACCGGGTCTAAGCATTGACATTCCATACATGATTCTCATGGCACTCATGGCTAAGAACCAGTGCCGTAATTAAACTGGTCATTTGGCTTATACATCAGCCTCTTGTCTCTTTGGTTGTTGCGTGTTGTCTTTTCATAACCAAATTCTATATGAATTGGCAAAACTGAGATTTTGGATTTGCAGAGTTGAAGATTAGTCTCTAGACCTTTTGCTACTCAAAGTGTGGTTTTCTGAATGAGCAGTGTTGGCATTATTTGGGAGCTTTTTAGAATTCAGAATCTCAGGGCAGACAAAAGACATACTGAATCAGAAACTGTATTTTAACAAGATATTTAATTGATTGGTTTTCTCATTAAGTTTGAAAAGCACTCTGCTTTAATATTTCTCAAAATACAATTCTTACACCTGTATATCTGAATAATGCTACAAATATACATTCCTGAGCCCCACCCAGACTGAACACAATAAGCTCCTTGACTCTGCAGCCAGGCAGGTTTCCACTGTGATTACTTTGTCACCTCTTTCTCTTTCATCATCAATAAATATTTCAAATACTCCTGAGAGACACAGATAATCATGATCATGAATTGTTTACAAAATATGAAATACTTTAAAATTAATCATCTAGTTCAAAAATGCTGAAAGAGTGGTAATTCTCTCTTTGATGAATCCATGCTGTTATTCACCAAGTTAGAAACCAGCATGGCCATAAAAGTAGTTACTAAAAAGGAATAGGAAAAATATTTTTAAAAATATATTTTACATAAAAAAAATTTGTCATTGAGTTATGGTTATTCATGCAGCTGCTAAAGGCTCTATTCAGAAGAAAATAAACCATTCAGCATTCATATGGAATTGGTCATTCTACCACAGCATTCTGAATAATGTATGAGGGATCCAGGGAAGATTAATTTGAATGAAAGAATATTCTAAATAACTTTCACTTTTTAACTCACGTCAAAATTGAAAACAATATTACTGCTAAATCATTCATTCATTTTTGTTTACATTCTGGAAGTTGCATGGCTGGGAGTTCCTCCCAGGAAAAGGATGATATACTTCAGAAATTACACAGGGCTCATGCATTTTCTTTCTTCTGCAGTAGATAACAAGTCCCTAAATGCTCATGTTTTTGTAGAGCAAGGGAATAAAAGATCCTCCCATCATTTAAGAGAACAGTTAAAAGTGGAACACCTGGTCATCAGTAGGAGTCCATGAACTTGACCCATGAAGTGACTCAGAAAGAAAGAGCTACATTGGAGAATGATTTGAAAACAAGCTTTGTGGATATGATGCCCCGAAACACAACTGTTTGATAACAGAATAATTATCTTTAGGATGCCATGCCATGACCATTTTCCTGTAGAGTTCCCATCTTGTCATAACTTTAATGTTTGGTTGTTTTAATGAATTATAAGATGCAGCTATGAGGAGGGGTCACTGCCGTTATTTGCCAGTAGAATCAACAGAAGGATGATTCTCTCCACTCTATATACCCTGGCAACCTCTGTTGTTTGAGTAGGATGGAAGCATCTGACTGACTATTTTGATCTGAATTCAGGAAGCAAAGGCAACACAGCTGATATTCTTCCTGAATATCTCTGCTTCTGAATATGTTATCCTGGCAGATTTTCAATGTAATTCCCCAGTAAAAGTTAACAAATGTGAGAAAAAGAAGCCATAAATAGCAAAACATCCTATTTCAACTAAATACAAGTAAAATAGTTTAATGAACTAGATATCAGAATCACAATTGTTCCAAATGATTATTTTGTAAATAATACAAGACTCCTTAACACTAAAAAAAAGATGTATCTGCTTTTTAATAATCAGATGTCTAAATCCAATAATCTGGATGATTAAAACAAGAAGAGCATCTGATTATATTTGCTCTTCCCAAACCCCACTGAAATGTTAACATATAAATAAAAGTAAGAATAAGTCCAGTATACTAATGGTTAACAAAGAAGGGTACCATCAAATCAAATCTTGAAGAATTTCTGGAAGATAACATATATGTGATAAAAGATTGGTGGAAAACCATGCAAAATTTAAGAACTCACAATGCTGTAAAAACAAAACTGCCAAAAAGTGAGCTTTCTCAGAAGACCCTCGTAACAAACACAAGATGGGGCAGCAAGAACTGGGAGCAATCAGTGGACCCATTTATAAAAAGGCTACACAAACCTGTTTAATACCCCTGCTGTCAGAATTACTGGCTCTAGAGTTTGATCCAAATAAAGATGAAACAGCCTCAAAAGTAAACAATCATCTGCCACCAGAGATTCAGACTGTGGGTGTTAGGACCAAAGCTAGAAGTGGAGTCATGGTCCAGGCAACTTCTGGATCTCTTCACGAACCTTGAAATTCTATTCTCAGAGCATATAATACTAGAGTCCACCTGACCAAACATATGCCCAGTCCAACCCATGACAGACAGGGATCCTGTAATCAGAGTCTAGATCCACTGCCCTTAGGCCACTGGTAATAAATAAACCCCGTCTAGCAATCTAGACTCTACCCTTTATAATATCAATGACAATCATGTTTAATTAGAATTCTCAAAAATTAATCACGGTTATTGTTTTTAAAGACCCAATAAGAAGGTTGAATAAACTAATGGCTATGGTCGGAAAGAAATAAATAGAGAAAAAAAGTTAAAGTTAAAAAAAATCAAGTTAGGGATCTGGAAAGCTTAAATAGGAAGTTCTGTCAGAACACAATGCAAAGGGAAAGAAAAAAAGAAAATTATGAAAGAAAACCCATGAGATATGGAGGATCAATTGAAGAAATCTTATAACTAGCAAAATGGTCATCCCAGAAGGAGATAGAGCTAATAGAGAGGAAGAAATAATCAAAGAAAAAATAAAGGCCCACAGTAAAAAAAGAAAACACTTGAACATAATTAAGTTAAATTATGAACCAAAAAAATAAAGTAAAACATCATAAAACCATATAAATTTAAAAAATATATTATTTCCAGAGGTAAACTAAAACCTGAAATTTCAGGAAAAACATAGTACAATGTTTATTAGGTCCAAGAACTAAAAAATTAAACCTCAACTCTTGTGCCTAGTTAAGTTAGTATTCTGAATTCATATTCATATTCATAATGCGTTTAACACCTTAAAATGTTATGATTTATGGGGCTTTAAGTTTTTTTCTTGTTGATGAAAAATATTTCTGAGAAAATAACAAAATAAAAATCCAAGATACAAGAATATATGAGGCAAAAGAAAGGTAAGCCAAGAGCTCAGGAAAATGTTTATTTAATTCCAAATAATTATTTATATTGTAGCTGTGAAATATACTGCTTTTATTACATAAGAATTCATAAAAGAGGCATAATGGAAAACCACAGTATAACTATTCAAATTTTGGAACTAAAATTGTAAACAATTCTTACAAAATCTGAAAGGTAAATAAAGAGGGAGAAAAAGACAGGTAAAAATTTTGCTAAACATCTTCTCTCATTCATAGGCAAAGTTATAGGTATTGATAACCAAAAGTATGTTTAAATGTGTCTATTAAAATATTAAAGGTAATTTTTACTAGTAGAGAAATAAGCTCGTATAAGATGGCAAAAATAAGACCAAAACATACCTGCAATTTTAAATATTCATTCTCAGATTGGAGAAAGTATATACATTTACACCCAAATCCAGCGATCTAAAACAAAATAACATATAAATTTGAAAATGAGTAAACGCAAAATAATATACTAGGAAAATATTAATAGAAAAAAAGAAGTTGATAACATTGATATAAAAATTAGGATTCAAAGGAATTAAAGTGGCCTAAGAAGATCTAATGACTACAAGCTTTATGTATCAAACAACATAGCTTTAAAGTATAGAAAGCAAAACCTGTTAGTGTAGAAGAAAGTTGACAAAGCAACAATTATATTGAACTTAACACCATTATCTCAGGTATCAGAATATGAAGGCAAAAACCTATTTAGGATATAAAGTATTTGAATAACAAAATGAACAATGTTGAGATACATATATATATGAGAACATACCTCAGCTGCCATTTATCTCTGTATATATATACATAAAGTGTATATATACAATGTTTAATATACAACATATAATGTATATATAATATATATTGTGTATATGTATATTCCATATATATATAATACATGTATTATATATAATGTATGTGATATATTCAAAGGGCAGAAGAAAGGGGCAAAATAAAGCAACTTAATTTTCACCTCTGAAAACTCACTTGTTGGGGCTAGGTCTTTCCTTGTCCTTGGATAAAATCTCAGGCAGACTTCATCTCTCATTTGTTCCTTTTTTGACAATACAAAGTCCTTCTGTGTGCTATAGACGGAAACACTTCAAAAGGAAAGGGGGGCATAGTTACTTCTTCTCTATTGACTCCACCTGAAGCTACTGTCTCTCTCCCCTATATCAATTTGCTAGATTGTCAATGCTCTTTGAAGTTTGAAAGGTGGTGGGGAGAAGCAAAGAGCAGAGAATAGTTTCCTAAAATGAAAGAGTTGTAAGCTAGAGTCAGTACTCTCTTAGCTTGGTATATGTTAAATACTGAATTTCACTCCTCAGTGTGCTTTGTGGATTCCATGAAGAATATTCATTTTTTGGAATCTCTCACTGAAATTCTTTAATGCACTTTCCAGCCGGCTGCTTATGCTGACCTCGCTCTCCCACCACCCACTGCCCCAGCTTGAGATATTTTGGTTCTCAATAGTCTAAGTTCACTCAAAAGGCTCTCCTTCTGAATTCCACCAAATCTCCAGGTTGCACTCTTGGAAATAATACCAATAAGAGAACCCCAGGCAAATCTCTCTGGGCGCATATTCATAAGAAACACACATTTTTAATCAATCTTTGAGAAAGCATTCTCCAAATCATAGCATTCTATGGGAAATCAAGAGACTTCCATTTCTTGCTCTTTGGTTCCTTCAGGCACGTCAGGCACCAATCAACAGTGTTGCTCAAGCCTCCAGAGAAATATGACGTTTCCTGAATGGTTTCTAAACCTCCCACAATCTACTTGAGGTTAGAGGAGGAGCGCCTCCCTACTCCTATCATGTTATATGTGGGGACATGCCACAGCATTCCAATGACTTTTTACAAAGAAATTCTCTCTCCAATCTCCAACCCCCTTTCATCCTTTCTATCCTCTTTTATAAGTGGTCAATCAGCTAGAAGTTGAAACCTTCCTTTGCAAGACAAGTGCAAGGTTAAGTGGTCTAACACCTTACTTTAGACCATGGGAGAAATTGTCACCTATTGTTTTCTACTCTGTCATTTTGGCCTCACCAGAAACTAAGACTAACATTCCATTTAACATCCTGTTAAAGAATGAGTTGGTACTGGCGTCAACAGGTCTACTCCTGCAGACTATAATTTTCCAGCGTCTACTGTAGATCAGACAGCAGCAATGACAATGTGAATTTCTCCAGCTCAGCTCATGGAAGTTGTTTCCCATGAGAATCAAGGCAATCGAGGACTCAATGGTAGCATGTGATAATCTTAAAGAAGGAATAGCTGAGCATTTGGAGATTTGACTATGACAGAGAAATATGTGACACTGGGAAAATCTCCATTGCCTCCATCATGTCCGGTGATAAACAGAAGAGAAAAACTATTTGAACAAATAGATCAGGACAACTTAAAATGTTACTTGAGTAGTGAATTCATAAATAAGCTGTGCCTTTCTCAGTTCAAGGTCAGAGGATAGAGTTGGCCTTACTCCATAAGCATCTCCCTGATTTTGAGAATATTACATGACGGTTTTAGATATCTGAATGGGGACAAAAATTTTAAAAATAATCTACACGGTGATTCCCCCCACTCCCCAATTACAGAAGTTATCAGATCCAAATGGAAAACTTGCGCCTGCTGCTTCTAGCAGAATGCTCTGCCCACACAGGCAGCTTAACTTGAAAACCATTCAAACAGGAAGCTTTGGAATTAGTGTGCATAGACCCTTGTGCTTAACCAGGGACTACATTTACAGTGGCTGAACACTTCACCTTCTAGAGCCAATTTATCCCACCCAAGATCAGAAGGCACAAACAGATGCTCATTTATCCTAGGAGACTGTATGAGCTTCTGACTCATAGAGGAAGAGTTCCAGAATCCCTTGCTGTGCAAAGTGTTCCACCTAGTGGGAGTTCAGAAATCTGGAACCTTCCATCCCCAAAGAGATTTAATGAAAATCTACTAAATATCTCGGGGATACAATACAGAGTGTTCCTCCATAATGCCACCAGAACTATGCCATTGGTTTTACCTCTGTTTTTCATTTTGGAGAACATACCTCAGCTGCCATTTATCTGTACAGTATGAGTGATGGAAATTAGATACAAGAAACCAGTATGCAGCTAGCCTCAGGGGCAAATTTCAGAAATAACACCTCTAAGTATCAATGTAGAAATTGGGCTACTTGACCATGGTATCAAACTAGAGTGAATGCTCCTGAATTGGGGACTATAGTGTAAAAGCAAAATGAATGACAACTAGAAGCCCACAGCATGTCTCAATTAGGGTGGTGCAGATTTTACCTGCATGCTAAGTGAGAGATGAGAGTGGGTCACATTCAATAACCAAATATTTATTGAGTAAATGATTGTTATAGGACCTGTGATATAGCAATGTAGTTTATATTCCAGTGGAAGGAGACAGAAAATAAGCAAATATGTTAAATAAAAAATATGAAGATAATAAATAAATATGCAGTGTTCCAAGTGGTGATTAAGAGTAATGAAGAAAATTAAATCAGAGTAAGGAAATGGATAGATGTTATTCTTATTTGGTTGGTCAAACGACCCCTGAGTAAGGTCACACATTAGTGGGGACCTGAAAGTAATCAGAAAGCAAGTCATACACATGTCTTGGGAAGAGCGTAGCAGAGAGGGAGTGGTACATTCAAAATAAGAGAAGTGAGAAGGTTGGCAGGCTGAAGGAAGGGTAAGGAGGCGGGTGTGAGTGGGGCAGCTAGCAAAAGGAGAAAAGTAATAGGAGAGGTCAAAGGGGTCATCAGGCACCAGATAGTGTATGTCATTCTAGATCTTGGTAAGCACTTTGAATTTTATTTTGAGATGAAGGTTTTGAGCAGAGAAGTGACATGACATGAGCCACTTTGAAAAGGATTATTCTGATCTTGTATATTACAGGGGTCAAGTATAAGGCAGGGAGATTGGTTAAATGCTATTGCAGTAGTCAAGATGGTACGCAATGGTAACCTGGACTAAGCCATGCACACGTGTGCAAGCACACATGTGTATGTGTGTGAGTGTCTGTGTAGGGTAGAGATGGAGAAAGACAGAGACCAAGATGGAGCAATTCATACTCATCAAGCAGAGACTACACATCCTTTTTGAAGCAATTAGGAGACATTAATAAAAATTAATCATGTACTAGGATATCAATTAAAAATCAATTCTAAAAAATAGAATAAAAATAGGCAACATTCTTCAATCACAATGAAACTAAATTCAGTATTAACAGTGATAGACTAGATGACAAATCTAACCCACTGGAAAATTTTTATAAGTCATCTGTATAAGTTTTAGGTTATTACTTGACTGACAGTCCTTATTAAACTAGGATCCATGTGGCCAGTCCTCTTGTTCACCAGGTGTCAAGTAAGACTGCAGAACTGGGAGGCGTACATTTCTCAGGTGTGTGTCTCAGTACAATTTTTTCCCCCAAGTCCAGGACTTCTTGTGATTTCTCCCCACGCTCTATCTCTCAGTATTTTTAAAAGTATACATCTCTTTTTTTGGTAAGTATATGTTTTTAAAGTGTCTATCTCTTGGTAAAGTCTTCCCTTCCTTCTTTCCTACTTTCCATGTTATTCTGATTCAGAGTTCTCTTGTGCACATCAAGTCTGAGCTCCACTGAAGATCTATCCACAGTGATGACAGAGCTGGGGCTGCTCTCCAGTGCAAATCTGCTCATGTTTTTTAAAAGACAAATTATCAATGAAAGCCTTTCCACAATGATTACAGATATAGTTTTTCTACCATGTGTTCTTGGTGTGAAAACAGGTTAGCTGTCTGGCCGACATCTTCTGCACATTCAAGGTATTTATATAACTTTTCCCCATGTGAATTCTCTGGTGTCTATGTAGGTGCTCACGCTGGAAGAAGGTTCTTCCACATTCATTTATAAGGTTTCTGTCCAGTGTGAAGTTTCTCACGTTGTCTAAGGACAGAGCACACCTTAAATGCTTTCCCACATAGAGACTTGTATGGTTTCTCTTCAGTATGAGTTCACTTATGTCACTTGAAGGATCAATGATTACTGAAGGCTTTACCACATTTCTTACAGACATAGGCTCTCTCTCCTATGTGAGTTCTATTTATCAGGAGAGGGAATTGTCTTGGGGAACACCATATAATTCATGCTGGAGAAGCAATTCAGTGATGTAAACGTTGGGAATTCACTACTCCCAGAGCATCACTTGTAGAGCATGTGAGGATCCACACATTATAAAACGCTCTCTGTGTCATAAATGAAAGGATGGGTTGGATGATCACTCATTCCTTAGTCAACACTAAAGATCTCACACTGAGGATATATCAATTCTAAAGTCAAGGGGAAAAATTGCATTTGGAGTTCACATAAGAATATTTATACTGGGAATACACTCAACTAAAAAACCCTTTAGAGGCTGGCCTGGTGGCGTAGTGGTTAAGTTCGTGCACTCCACTTCAGCAGCCTGTGATTCACCGGTTCAGATCCTGGGCAAGGACCTACACACAATCAAGCCATGCTGAGGCAACATCCCACACAGAAGAACTAGAATGGCGTACAACTAGGATATACAACTATGTACTAGGGCTTTGGGGAGGAAAAAAAAAGAGGAAGATTGGCAACAGATGTTAGCTCAGGGCCAATCTTCCTTACCAAAGAGTATTTCAAAAAAAACCCTTTATCACTCAAGTGTGCAGAAAATTCTGACTTTTGCTGAATGACCTAGTATTGAAAAAAATGTAGGATAAAGATGTGGTACTCTTAGACACCTTGAGTCCAGAATTTGGAAACTAGTAATAAACAACTAGATAAATCCTTTTCAGTATGTTTGTACTTGTGTTAAGCAAACGCCATTGAAAAAACTAAAAAAAAGTATATATTTCCTAAAATCTGCTTTCAGTTCCTTAAACTTTGCTTTTCTAATTATCCACTTCAAGCATGAAGAAGTGTGTTGACTATCTACTATGAAAGAAAAAAATCAGTTTAATGTGGTTTTATTGAAATCATCTAGGATTGCAGACTCATACATTATGTATCTTTGCTTTTAAGAACCAGTCGTGATATTTTCATTTTATTTGGTAAGGTACACTTGTAATTTTAAGACTTAA